TTTTGTCTAAATTTTCTTCTGTATTAATTTTATAAAAGATAGATCTGAACTTCTAAAATTATTTAAAAAGTCATCTTTATTAAAATTCCTAAAACTTCCAGCTTTATAAGTTGGTATAGTCAAATTCAAAGTAAACCAAAATGGAATATTGGCAGTCACTTATGCCTCAGTTGATATTCATAATATCAGAACATTCGTTTTGCATATTGATAAGTATAACATCTAGTAAACTAAGGGCATGATTTGCATGTTAACATGTAAGTGATTTTATCATGTTTGTTAAAAATCAAAACAGTCACAAAAGTTCAGTTATGTTTGTACATTTATCTTTGTTTGCACAGTCATAGTTCAAATCCTCAGGAAATTGTAATTGTGGACGATACAACCCGAAAATTAGCCATTTAGATTTTTCAATACAAATTGATTCTATGAACTTGAATTCCAGCTGTTCCGTCACCTGTTAGGTCAGATCTGAGATAGGCAGCAATACCACCTCCATATGCATTTCTGTCCGCCCTCCACAAATGGTAGTTATCAATCTGAAATTGGGCATCAACAAAACTATCATGAAGTTTTGTTTCGGAAATAATAGAAGATCAACAGAGTTTTTCAGCAATAGCTGTTTTATGTGCTTAGACTATTAATGTTCAAATAAGCAGAGAACTTGTTCGGTTGTGCACTAGGAATTTTATTAAGTCCATTAAAAATGTCGTTTCTATTTGAGTTGGTACTGAGGTTCTCATCATATTCTGAGAAGATAGATAAACCAGATGAGTTGCTGTAGATACTAGTATCCAAAGAAAATGGTTCTCTGAAGTTAAAATTTTCATAATGGCTACAAGCCCTATGAACTGGGCTGTTTGCAACATAAAGACAAACAGAATTTCTAAAGAAAGTCCAACACGACAAAATTGTAAATGTTGCAGGCTCGGTTTGACTGAGCCTGTTAATAGACGTTACTATATAATACAAGTTACCGCCCATGCTCCCTGGCACCGGCTTATGCAGAATTAATCATTTAAACACAAAAATGGTGAAATTTTGAATTTAGAAACATCCGCAGATGTGTTCAAGTCTAATTTATTCTTTGGGGAGATGTTATCTCACTTATTGTGTATCCATTTTTAGCAGTCCTCACATTCTAGAGCTCGATGATTACTTGCGACTGGTCGGCTGCATATACCACAAGGGTAGTTTGTGGGACCCGGTTGAGAGCAATATACCCAGCAATTTGAAGTAGATACAGTTTTTAGCATTCATTTGGTTAAGTTTGATAGGTCATGACTGAGCACGACGTGTGTGTTTGAGATGGAAATATATGATACACTGAGTGTTTATAATGTCCAAATTGGGGGCAATTTTTGAACCATTTATTATCCTTAAGTTTGTTAGACTATTCAGTTGAGGACCATCGTCTATTTTCGGATAGTTACCTTTGTACCAATTGTTAGTAATTTCATGTGTTTTACATGGACAAAGCTGATTTTTTTTAATTTAAAATATTCAGAGGACTGCTGTCATGGCGGCCGCCATAATGAGTAGGCGGTGTCAAAATTTGTTTAATTGAACGTCTGATGACTACACCTTCCGCATGGTAAAGATCAAGCGTTTGTAGAGTCTGACTCAAGTGAAAATTTTCCAAATGCACGTAATACGGTTTAAAACTTAATGTTTTAAACTAAACGTTTCATTTTTCGTTTATTAAAAGTTCTCCAAGTAAAAATTTATGTTGAATATTCCCTTTGTTTGTAGAAATTTATCTGTTTTTTTGGGCGATTTGACCTTTCCGCCCTGCGCATGATATCTGCCAATTTTAAAATACTACAAGTACAAGCATTTCAAAACTACTAGGTCTTGCCGTTCAGCCGGGTATTTAAAAAAAATTGCATCAAATAAACTCCTTCCTTCTGTTTATGTCTTGAAGAGAAATGTTCCGAATACTATCTACCCCGCATGAACCTACGAAAATAAAACAAGAAAATATTTTGATTTGAAAAAATGGCGTTTTAAAGGCCTGTTGGAGTCTTTGTTATCATGTGTTTCTGGTTGTCATAGATAAGGCTGTGAAGGGTTAGAAATTGCTAATCAAAAAATAATATAAGGGATTATCCCTTTCAATATGTGTCGATTATTTTTCAGGAATGGACACTTTTATTGCAATAGGTCTCCATTATTTGTAAAACCTATAGCATACTTGTGTACAATACTTGTCCAATCACCTGTGGTAAAGAAATAAAGACATAAAACTGAAATACAATATTTTCAAGAACTTCTACCATCATCTGATTATTTCCAGTCTGTAAATATACATGTTCCGAAAAAGACATTAATCGGCAAGAAATACAAAATTAATATAGTAATTCATTCATGAAAAACGCGAGGCATTTTTGTTTCGACATATGTTTCGTAAATTGTTGTCGAATAATAAGTGTTTTTCGTCAGGAATCCATTTTCAAGAGTTATGAACATTGTAATGCTGACAACTAAAATTGATTATGGATTTCGAACATACTTAATTATGATGTGTTTCATTTACATATTTCATTTGCTTTCCCAGATAACTCCACAAATGGAACAATGATTATGTTTTAATAATGAGACGGATAATTAAAAGTTTAAAAAAATCTGGATCATTATAATATAAGTGTAAGTGTATTTATGACCTAGACATCCTCCACCCCCCACCCCACAACAAAAGAAATCTAATGAAACATGCTTTTAAATTTATCATCTCTAACAAAATGGAATGTTATTAACTGTTTTTGATTTCAATACGTAATAGATCGAGTTAAATACTTTTATTAGCGTAATTACATAAAAATGCATTGTGCCGTAATTGTAGAAATATCTCCGATATAACTTAAATTATTTTATAAATGGTAAAGAAAAAAAAGTATAAAAATCTCGTTTTGTCGAGAAAATGTCCATTTATCCGGCATATAATCTTCAATGCATCAAAATTACATGTACTTTTAAATATTTTATTTTTTACATTTTTTATTCGTTACATACTCAAGTAATATTAAAATATATAGAGTGTTAAAAAAGGACATTTTACCGCTTTTACGCTTAATGCGTTACCCCAAAAGAATTTCCGTTGCGTCGTATTTAAATCATACCCGATGAATTGTAGGTAACTTTTGTACATGTCTGGGAAAACCAAATTCCATATTTGCATAAAAGGCTCATGTGAGAAAAAATAATTTTTTGCGTACTTGTTAAAGGGTTGGTTATATTGTAATATTGTAATTTATTGTCATTTTAGTTATAATATTGTGATTTGTGTACAAATTTGTTTACATTTTTTGACACCAAATTGTCTGTCGGACAATCAAATGAGAAAAATAAGCATGATTTGTTTTAAATAAATAAAGATATCCCGAAATTCCTTTCATAGAATTTGCTATATTTTAGATATTTAAGGTATAAGGTATAAAATATAAATAAATATTTATTTTGATGTAATATGATGTAAAAAATAACATTCTTTTAATAGGGGCCCTCATTTTATTCTTCACTCGACAAAACAAAGAAAACAATCAGTAAGTATTCCGAAATAAATGAAGCAAGGAACATTTCTTTCATATTTTTTTTCTATTTTCTATTTATATCTTTTAACCTTCTTTAAATGTATCATTTAAAACTTCTTCATCTGCTTGTCTGCCTTTACAATCAAGTTGCAACGCACTTTGGCATCTGCCACTAGTGATTGGGGTGACGGGGCCGGAATTATTACCAATGCTGTAAAACTTATGTTAAAAAGAATCCCGTGTCTGACATTGTCAAAACAACTCTCCTATTACTGTATAAGTGGATATTGATGCGTCACATTTTTTTTGCAAATGTCAAAAAGTGGAATTTTTTGAGTGCGGAAATATTTGCAAAAATATGTTCTTTTTTTAAAATTATTACTCAACTGTTTTTGTGATATTATTTATTAAGCAGATACATGTTAAGAACACGACATTATTGTAATCGTTCTATTTAGGTGTTTAATACTTGAACTTTTTAATAATAATATGGTTTGGGAGAAGTACTATAGGTATAAATAGTTTAGGTTTGAAAAAGGATCTTATCAAAAACATTTCTTGGGTTCATAATTAGTTTGAAAATAATTATATTTGTAATAATGAAAATACCTATTGGTGTTATTACAACAGACAGTACATTATATTGAATTAAAACATTTGTGATTTTAAAGACGTAAGATACTTAAACAAACAAAGCAGTGAGAAACAATAAGTCTTATAATTGACAGTCAAACATTATTGGATGCAGTAAGATGCTGGTAGAAAAGGATTTTGCATAAAATGAAATAATTTTGTGCGCGATATAATATATTTGCGAATAATATTATTGTTGCAAAAATCGGCTAATATTTCACATTCGAAAAATAACCACTTCTAGTGTATTCTTACAAGTTCTCCTTGACCATTTAGAAAAAATGTATTGTTTATTGTTTTCTCATTATTTCTTCAGTAACCGAAATTTAAATAATAAAATCGAATACTATTTAAATATGTTCTTTGTAAAGAGTAACTATCAGTGATTATCTGCCTTGGAAGCGTATTACGATGCGCACAAAAACTACCGAAAACATCTTTAAAGATGTCTTGCTGTGAGCAAAAAAAGAAACAACAAAACCAAAAACAACAAAAAAAAAAACATAAACAAAAACGAATAAAACAAAAATAACATCACTTTGCTAATTTAAAAGTGTGTGTTATGACTTTTATGAAACAAGTGACATTTACCGTATTATGCAGACTTGCAACCCTATGAGTTATTCTTCTTTTCTAGATTGAAAAAGCATCGTTCAGCCCACTGCTTTGAAAGGTAGAAATGAACTTGTTTTTAATTATGTTAAATTTATTGATTGTATTTTCATTACATGTCTGCTTACTCTTACTTCTTTATAATAATGTTGATGTAGTATTTAGTGCCTAATTATATGAAAAGATTGTATGACACAAATTATTTTGCATTGTTTATCCATTTAGGAAATAACCCTGTAACGTTGAAAAAGGCTGCTTTTTGTTTGACAACGGGAAGAAAAAAACACGTTTATTCTAAAGCTTTGAAAACATGCCAGTTGATATTTACAACAAAAACTTTCAAAAACTGGGTTAAAGGGGTGTGTTTGGCTCAGCACCACAAAGATCTGTTTTGTGTCAATATATTATAGACCAGCTCGATAAGGACTTGAAAGACATTCCGGTCTCAGAACTAAAGCAATTTTTCACATGTCTATGTTCAAATAAAATTTTCCAATTAAAAAAGCGCAAGAAAAATTCCGAGAAGATGGGGAATGCAAGCATGAGAAATGCAAAATACTTATTGGAACGTTTTTGTTCACAACCATACAGAGTTTGGCGTTTTAAAGTTCAGAGATGGTTGGCAAATCTTCATGGTGAAAGAGGAATTGACAATCCTGATTAGAAATTTGTTGTAGTGAGGTCGGTGATGGTATAATGGGGAAGTGTGTTTAAATTTAGCGCATGTTTCTTCAGAAAAAAGAGAAGCTGTAAGTTGAACTACAACAAGTATAGAATGTAGTATTGATATATTCTCCATGGCTAACAAAGTATTAGAAATTGTAAAGTACTTTTCTCCAGATGGTCAATGCTGAACCTTGTGAAAGGGTAAGGCCGCAATCGTTTTTCTTATGCATTTGCATTTCTCATTTCTCATAGGGGCTTATTTCTGAACCATGCATCTTGTAACTGAGCACTATGTTCAAATTTTGTTCAATTCATATGGCTGCTTATTTATTAGTGAAAATTGTAATGAAAATTTAAACACAAAAAGATGCACACTTCGCTGCTCTATAAAGTGGAAATCGTCAAAACTGTCTTTTTAAAAGCGGTCTTTGATTCGCGTTTACTGTTTTTATTTTATCTTTTAAATATATTAATAGACAATTATATTATTTAGGATGAACTAGGTCCGCTTGGACAAGTAATCCCAATGAAAAAAACTGGATAACACGTTATAGATCAGACTGGGTAATGTATTTCAGTTCAATATTTTAAAATACGGCTGACGTAGCTAAAATATTTGTGTATGCTAAACAAACTATTCTTTCCAATTCGTAGTACTTCCTTTAAGGGTCAATAGTGTTCATAAGTATATTTGTTGCAATTTATCTTAAAATGAAGAAAATGCTTTTATGGGTACTTTATTCTAAATAATTTTTACTCCAAAGTCTTAGTTAGCTCTTATAATTTCCTCACAATTAGAAAGTGTCAATACGCGTCTTTGAGCCTCATAAAACAAATCATACCCGCTGAATAGTTTTATAACTGGGAGAATTTCAATTAGACACGCAAAAACGATACAAGGTAAAACAAACCAACAGCATTGGGAAACTTAAGGGTTAAACAACACTTGCAAATGTATATTCGGTAGTTCAAAACTCCTGATAGATAATAGTTTTTGTTGTTTAAAATTGGCGAGTCCATACATTCTTTGACAAGTCACAAAATATCTTGCCCATTTTTTTAATACCCTTGAGACTTTATAAACAATCTTCTCAAAGCTTTTAAAAGTATGGAAATATGATTTAGATGACATTATGCTGGTTTGGGAATGAGGTCATCAATGGGATATACGCTATTTCATGAACGGACGAACACAGAACCTTTCAAATAAAAGACAAAAGATCAACACATTGCAGCTAATGTATTCTAAAAATAGTCAGAAACGGTCAAGCATCACCATCCGTGGATGAGTATAGATATAAAGAATAGACTAATCAGAAAATGCAATCGCGAAACCGATACAAAGACATTTAAAAAGCGGGGGGCAGGTAGGAAGGATCAATCAATATCAGTTCTATACTTAGAACGCAAAGCGCAGGCAGGGTAAAAAAAAAATATTTTTTACTTCAAACGCATGTAATTGTGCAGCCTTAATCTTGGAAAATGACGAAATGTATCAACTAAGATTTTTGAAATTTAAAAACATTTAATGTCAACATCGGACAAGAAAATTGGTATTACAAGTAGAAGAATGGCAAAATATGATACACTACTACCATCTAATGATTAGAGGCCAAAGTATAGTATCCATCACAGGGAGAATATCAGAACTTTAAAATTATTACATTGCAAAAAGGCACTCCTAATATATGATACACAAATCTCAAAGAAGTTCTTTAATCAAATATTGAGTAAATCCATCTCTCATCTTTCATTACTAGATAAGCTCAACGGTTAGGCTAATTTCAATGGAAACTAGCAAAACGTCTTTTGATCTTAAGAAGAATGGATCTCACTAGTTATAGGGAACGATTTTTCTCTGCAAAGGAGCATGCAACAAAAGTGGGCTTGACTTATTAATAGAACAGAAAGCTTGTTTTCAATTTTTGTGACAGGCAGGAAACAAATTGTGGCGCATCTGATTTATAAAGAAATCTCAAACAGACAATCAGAACTAATTGAAATCGAAAGATAGTCCGTTGTTACTGGTTATTGGTGGTATTCTGAAGGCATTTGAACGTGTCCGGCGTGCCGTTTGTATCATCATAACTTGTAAATATACTGGCTTGTCTGGTGTTTTCTATATGGTTGTCAGGGATTATGTTCTTGACGCTATCAGCATGTTGTTGCTTTCTGGGTATCCCAGTGTTCAAAGTGGATTTATTTTTGTCTTCAATTGGTTGTGTACTTCAATAACATTTGTCAAGGAATATTAGTCTTTCATTTACGACTCCTTGCTGGGTAGACCTTTTTGCTATCATAATTGAATAGCCTTCAAACTGCTTTATATTTGAATTCTGAACTTTCAAATGTTTCACCCCAATTTTTGCAAAAGACTAGCTTGGGCGATTTTAACTTTACTTACAAAATGTGTTCCCTCTTATTTCTTGGACAGGTGAATAAAGGATTTACGGATCTTTGTTCCTGATGCTCGTGGGAGAATAAACATTAAAGTAAAATATTAGAAGAGAATATATATTCATATTTGTTTGTGGACGGGAATATGCCATGGATATCATATACACTGTCATCATTGGAACATTGAAATTCGATGAATGCTTGGGACGCTTGTTTTTCTTACGCACAGTAACTAAAAATTAATTCGAAGCTGTCGTAGTATCTCTGTTGTTATAACCTTGTGTCTACCCTGACTTTATGCATTACAACATCTTTATTTTTGGCACGGCTTTCATGTTGTATATATGGGAGATTGCCTTGAGTTTTTCAAATCATCCTGCATTCACGTTTTTAGAGAAGTTACTCAAAGGCTATTATTTTGTGTTAATAAACGGGCGGTTTTAGAGGATGCAGGCCAGATTTAAAGTATTTCGATGTGCGCTATCAAGGACTCATTGGCATCCATTTACCTGGGGGCAGAAGAAAGGCTATTTACATTTAAAATGGGGTAAAACAAACCCCCCTCCCAAATTTTTAAACAATGATTTTAACCTTAAAGTACATGTAAACATAGCGTCTTGAAAAGGTTTTTGATTTCTAAACCATTAGTCTATTTTTGCGAGATTTTGCACGTGCATGTTTAAAGGGTTTTTTAATATTACATGACTTTAGGTTTTGAAATACTGGGTTGTAAACTGGTTGAGTTTCATTTGGGTGATTTCTGAGAGGAGGAGTTAATAAAAAGTACGATGGATTATTAGTAATATCTGGTAAAACAGTGGGGATCGCGCGGGATGCAGTAAATCAGCAAAATTACGTTAAAATTTCAGTTCTTGTTTGATTTGTTTCTGTTAATGCGCGTTCAAAAATGAAAAGATTCTTGTTTAGTTAATTAGAATGCCTTTCTAATTCGGGTCAAATAAGACTATACGAGGTGTAATGAAATGGAGGAAGGGTAAAGTAAATGTCTGGAATTATCTTCGGGTCTGGGCGGGCAATTTCCGCTAGCCCTTTGACAACAGAAAATAGGACATACTAAGTCTAGTTGGAAATGCACAAACACGCTGAAGGGAAGGAGTGACATATCGAGCCTTAATGTGTTATATGTGTTTTGCATCTTGAAAGAAAAGTTAAGGAAAGGGTTCGCCCATTGGACCCCGCATTAAATTTGCTAAAACCGACCAGAAAAGGAAAGGGGTTAAAATGTTTCGGCCTTATAAACGAGGTTGAAAGATCGTGACCCTAGAAACACCTAACATAAATTATCACAGGAGGTGAAACGTGCTTTTATTTGAAAACCCCACCTTATACTCATAAACAGAATGTGGGTATGTAAAAACATCGTTCACACCGTTGTTGCTCGGCGTTGCAGGAGCGTTTAAAGACTTTTGATCGCTTAATTCTGACAGTGAGGGAAAATAGGAACGTGTAGCGGTGTGTGAGAGTGGAGTGAAAGTTTCTGCCGTTGCCACTTTATACCCATCGTACTTGAGCCTATGCATTTTTTATATTGTTCAGGGGCTTTAAGTATACGTTCTTTTTCATTTTCGCTTTTTTTAATAACGCAAAGACTACAATCAACGCGAGTCTGCAATTTTCATGTTTTTATTTTCCACTTGGTTTAATGTCCGAAAAATTTAACTTTTTCCAGTTTTGGGAGACTGTATACTGGCTGCAACAACTAGCGGAGGTAATGATCGAGTAACTCTCTCTAAATGTTGTTCTCAATTCAGATATTGACTTATGAATTTTTCTCGTTCATACTATTATTAATAGCAATGGTGTATTAACTGTTGTTCATTTATTTATTGTGCATCTGGATGATTGGGAATCATCGATCATAAACATTCTGATGGGATCTTTCGAAAGACTGTGTTGTTAGTAGAAATGCGTTGCTTTTTAAATAGAAACGATTTCATGTTATTGGAATGTTACTTCGGAAAAACTTAGGGGTTGTGTGACTATAATAATATAGTGATTATAAGCACTTGTCCAATTTTTTAAATTCGGCTATTTTTTCTACATTTTTCCAATCAAAAAAGATCCTAAACCATGCCTCAAACTAATTCATGATTTAATTTTTGCGTATTTTTTGGAATAGTATAAAATGCACAAAATGTTTCGTAGATTACAAGGTAATAAGCATTGACGGGATAGCTTCGTTAAATAACATTGAAGAAATATTGGGTTTTCTAAGTGTATCACAATATTAAATATAATCATCTT